CTTTATGTAAGGCTAATGTATGTAAATAGAAATTAGACCATCAATCTCATTAACAGGATTTCTAAAAAGAAAGGTCAAGAGTAAGAAAAGTAACGATTAATCAAAAAAGTAGTAGTCTGAAACTGTTCCTAAACAGTTCAAAGTAAAATCAACAGCTTAGTTTTAAGCCTAGTTTAAAAAAGGCTTTAAGTTAAGTAATTATCAACTAGTCTCTAAACCAGCCCTGTTACATTTAAAATAATAAGTTAGTGTTTTCTATGCCGAGCGCCATTCTGAGCATTTGACATGTGTTAGCTCATGCGTAAGCCTCACAGCACCCACAGGAGGCAGGTCCTGGTACACCCATTTCATACAGGAGGGAATGGAGGGGTCGCTACTAGTCAATGAGAAGCTGGATTTGCGCCAGTTCGGCTTACAAACCCAATAGTCTGAGGATCAATAACCAGAACAGGTACACAACAGTGTCAGACACCACGCATTTCTAATTTTCATTAAAATTTGCATTTGTACAATCTGAGTGTGTTTCAAGGAATACCCTCTCTTTACGTAAATCTTGATTTACTATAACTGCACTAATCTGCATGGCTGAACTAATAAGTAGGCAATAATTAAAATAGAAAAGGATAACATAGGATTATACTTACTTCCCCACTGGCTGGCCCTTTTTCTTTCTGTTGACAGCGTCTGATCACTTCCAATAATAAGGGTCCGCCCACAGTACCTTCTGCTTCGATAATACCTAAATCTCGAGCTAAATTCTCTCGACCTTCGAGACCTTGAGACTAGGAAAAAAATAAGATATAGATGCACAAAATTATACCAAAAGTATTTTCAGAGAATAAAGAAAATATTTCCAGAGCTTAAAAACATCTCTAAACTCAGAGACTGTTCTTCTAATTAATGAAATGTCCATTTTGAAAAATTAAACCTGTTTCTTTTACACAGCCTCATGTTCAAAGTCTCCATTAACAGGTGCAATCTAACATCGTACTAAAATTAACGCTACAGTCGCGCTCCTTCATTAGCAAGCTTTCAGGTTACAGGAAGCAGCAATACTGGAGCCAGCCAGCTATCTGATAGCTCAGTGGTCTTAAGAAAAACAGATGATCAACCAGAAAAAAATAATCTGTATGCCAGAAACTATAAGCTGTCACATTTTATTAACTTTCAGCTTAATATTAACTCATTTGTATCAAAGGTTTAATAGGATAGATGTAAAAATCATTATTCTTACTGTGCTAGTTTCAGGTTGAAAAACAGCCAAGGTAAAGTCAAGGTTAAAAAACTGAAGAAATTCTGCAACGAGACTGGCCACTAAACGACCTAAAAGATCAAGAAAAAGAAGGGTAAGCAAACCTTTAGGAACCCTGAAGATCTTTTATTAACATTGTGAAATAAGATACACTAAATTAACTGGAGAGAGGAAGTTTCTAAAGTTTTTAAATTACAAATTTCTTCTCTGAATAATGTAATTTATTGAAAATCCCCATCTCCCAATTTTTTCTCTAAGATCATCAGTCTGAACTAATTGTAAGACAATGTAACACTTCATGAACAAATTCCAGTGTTCTACCTTTCAGAGTAAAATTGTCTTTAGTCAACAATTTGCCATGACCAAAAATATTTAATAGCAATGTGATTGTTATTCAATGAAATATTGTTCGAAAATGAGGACCTGTAAGAATTGTAGACTTAAAAAAAACCCCGAAATTCCTGATTTCTCTCGAACGGTGTAAAGATTCAAAGAGACAGATAAAATAAATAAGAACAAGTTGAACATCTTACCATCTTTTGTATTTAAAAACTTTTTCAGGCTCTCATTGACTAAAGGAGTTTTGTTCTGTTAAAAAAATGAAATATTTTAAGTGTCATGTGATTATCTTAAAAAGTACAAAATGTACATTAAAATTTAATTTGTTGGCAAAAATATAATATGTGGTAATCCATAAAATTATGGTTTTATTAAATCTATTCCACAACTCTTTATTATTTTGTGCTATTTAATTTCTCAAAGTTAATAAAACAAAACCATAAACATTTGTATTTATTTTTAATGTTTTATAAATTGCTGACTAAACAATGTTAAATAAATTGCTTACTAAATTAAGCTAAATTATCTTCAAAAACTCATGTTAAATAAAATTAAATTTACTTATGTAAACAACCGTTTATTATTTCAAATATGTGAAGTTTGATATTTGATCATCTTAGATATCTACCATTATAGCATACTGACAATGAACAGGAGTCCAATTATCAGTTTATCTGTGGTAAATGAGATGATTCTGTGTGGCCCATAGGCCAACTTTGTTTTGTAATTATGTTTATTTGAATATAAATAGAAAAAATACTCTAGCACATCAAACTTTGATTATTGCTGAGAATAAGGCCGATGCAGGCAGCATATGGTAGCTTCCTCAAGCAGACCACAAGAATCGCTGGTGCAGTGGCAGCACCGTACACTGCTGAGGGGACTGCAAGATGGCACAACCAGTTTGGAAAGCAGGTTGGTAGTTTTTTAGAAAAGTTAAAAAATATCCCTACCATGTGATCCAGTCATTCCTCCCTACTTATCTTCTCAAGAAAAATCACACATACAAGCAAAGACTTGTGCACGAATGGCCACAGCAGTCTTACTCCAAAACTGGAAACAACCCAAATGTCTATCAGCAGGTGAATGGCTAAACAAACTGTCATATCCATGTAATCGATGGGTTAATGGAATGATCCCGAACTCATCAAATGGAATGAACTATCAATATACACCACAATATGAAGGCATTTCAAATGCACTATGCTGAATGAAAAAAGCCAGACCAAAAAAGGTACATACTGTATGATTCCATCCGTATAGATCTTAAAAAATGTTTGGGAAAGGCTTACAAAGGGGCACAAGGAAACTTTTGAGGGTCATGGATATGTTCACTATCTTGACTGTAGTTATCACTTCACAGCTGCATAACTGTTAAAACTTATCAAATTGTACGTTGTAAATATGTTCCATTTATTGTAGGTCAATTATACCTCAACAAAGCAGTTAAAATAAAAGATGACGGGAAAGATTATAAATGTCCTTGGTAGGCTGAACCAGGGAATTTTAAGACATTGGGTCAACTGAAACATTTAAAGAAAATGGAGGGACACGATCAGATGTGTACTATAAATAGCCAATTCAGGAGCAATGTGGAGAAAGGACTTCAGGGGATGGTGAGGGACACCAGCAAAGGGTAGACTGGAGAGCAGGAAGGGGGTAAAGCAATCTGGAAAAGAAAGAAACACAGGCGAACTGGGCAACAAAACTTTTCCTTAGAGACACTTCAGATACAGACCTAACAGACAGAGCCAGCTGACAACTGAGCAGGCAGAAAGAAGAGCAAGGCCTGGGAGACTCTCAGATTCTTGTTTAGCTGAAGGTCACCAATAAGAGAATACAGAATGAGAACTATAGAACGGGCATCAACAGTCTAAGTAAGGTCAAACTGAAGAAACCAAGGAGTGGTCAAAAGGAAAAGAAGAACAGAAGAGAAAAAAGTCCCAAAGGTCAAGAGAGATTTTCAAGAAGGAAACAGGAATTAAGAATGTCAAATGCCACAATGATCAACTAAGATAAGAAAGAACTAAAGTATATTCCATTAGGAGATTCTTCTTGACCATTGCAAAAGAAATTGCTTAGGAGTAACAGTGGTGGATTTAAGATTTTATGGATTAAGGGGAGTCTGGAATATAAGAAATGGAATAAACATGTACATTGTTTCAAAATGTGGCTGGGAGGGAAAAAATCGAGTGGTAGTAAAAGCAGAATAAGACAAAAGGAAAATAGTTTTCCTCTTAGGAGCGATTTAAACATGTTTTCATGCTCAAGAGAGGAGCCAACAGAAGGGAAGAGGTCAAAGATATAGTAGATAACTAAGGAGATGAGGGTGTATGGAAGGCAAAATCTAGACAAAGTGATTATTCTTGGACGAGACAGAGCCCCTTCTACTAAAGCAGAAAGGAAAGAGGTACAGATAAACGCAGACACAGGTAAGCTTTTTCCGAGGTGAGCGAAAGATTGGTGGCTGGGAAGGAAAATATAATGTTAGAACCTTATGGCTTCCATTTTCCCTGAGGAAGGGACAGACCAACTATCCAGGAAGGAGGAGCGGGCTAACAGAAGGCCAACATGCAGCTGCAGTGGGAGGTGCTGCGTGAAGAGCAGAGCTGAACATCTGCTCAGGACCTAGCGAGGTTGGCATGCACCCATTTGTAACATCAGCAATCCACGTGGCTGAGTAACTTTTCTGTAGAGGTGCATATACACAAACAGGAAAGAGCGTTAGTTTGTTGGATTAAATGACCATTAAGATTTCTTCCAGACCAAGAATGACTGAAAGGCAAGGCAGTTAGGGTTTTTGAAGTATGGACCATGGGGTCCAGAACTAAAAGCAGCCAACAGAAGACTGATGCCTGGACAAACACAGGAAGAGCAAAGAACTGAAGGGTTTGATGAAATTAAAGAGCAAGTATAATACACAGGTCTAAAGAAGTGAAAGGATAGGAGACCAATTTGTCATAGAGTAAGAGTTTAACACCTTGATTATGGAGTGATTCATGTTGACAAGTTCCAGGATATTTACTCAGGACAGTTGGTGGGATTTGGAGCAGGCAGAAAAAGCTAAATTACGCACTTAAATGCAAAGAAGTGGTTGGACTTTGGGCAACAAGAAAGATCATGATGTTTTTAAATAATTGAGTGGTCAGATAATTTTGGGGAAAATAGCATATACCCCCTACCTCACAGGGATTCCCAACGTATGTTAATTAATTAATGCAAACCTGCAGTTAACCCATTGACAATGAAACCCTTTCTTCAAGTAACCTTTTGTTTCAGTTTAGTATTGGTCTCAGTGTTACTCTGGTACCTAAACTTTAAGATTACTCAAAATTTAAAAAATACACTAAAAGAGAATAATTTTGGTTCTCCCCCAATAGTAACATAACCCTTAATAGTTAAAATTATCCCCAGCCATACACTACCATAAATTGCATTGTTAAAACGTTTTTTAACTAATTAGAAATTCAGCATTAATGAATAAGGTCATATTAAAATCTGGAGATTTCATACCTCTACTTTTTCTTGCTCCTCTAGTGCTAAAAACACGGCTGCTCGGAGTTCAGCCTTTAAAAAAAAAGGTAAAGGAATAAAAATTACTATTTCGAGACAATTTTCAAGACAAGAAGTGCACACAGGTAAGTTCTACAGACACCACCCACACCGTCTAAAAGCCAGCGACAGAACGAGAAGGACGCAGGACGAAGCGGCTGAGTGGCAGGTGCAGAGGTCGCAGGCTCCCGCAGCCCCCGATCCCCGCAGGCTGTTACAGGCCCCGCTTTCCCGCCGCTCATCCCGCGAACGTCCGAGGAACGACCGCTCAGACCCACCCTCCCGGCACCGAGGCCAGGGGGACTGCGTGCGACCGACCCCGCGACCTGGCCACCCTGCCCGCTGCGCTCGGCGGTGGAGACAGGGCCCGGGGGCGACGCTGAGCCTGCGGGCCCCGGGCCGCCGCGCCGCGAGCCGGCAGGAGAGGAGGCCCCGCGGGCGAGCCCGGCTCTCCACGCGCCGCCCGGGCCACCGTGGCCCCAAGCCCCGGCGGGGCCTCCCCAACGCGTCGCGCGCCCCGCTGTGACGCCCGCCGTCCGCACAGGCCCTGCGCCCCGCAGGCCCCCGGCTCCCTGCGCCACCTTGATGCGGTTCAGGACCCCGCTGTTCTCCAGCGTGTGCACCAGCAGGTCTCGCAGCTCCGTGTCCTCCTCAGCCACCACCGCGGCCGCCGTCGCCGCCATCTTACTTCTCCAAGACAACCACCCAAGCCGCGCCAACGGCCGGCGGCCGGCGCGCTTCCGCTCGGCGCTGGGGCGGAGCGCCGAGACCCCGCCCCTCACGTCAGAGGGCGGGGTGACGAGACTCTGGCGGACGCAGGGGCGGGGCCTCGGGCGCGTAGGAAGCACCCGGCCGCGGAGGCGCACTCTGGAGGCTGGGGTATGCGAACGTGCGCTCCGGGGGAGGGGCGATGCGGCACGGACGCGCGCTGGGGGCGGGGCAATGTGGAGGCGCGCTCCGGGGGCGGGGCAACGCGGAGGCGCGCTCCGGGGCGGGGCGATACGGTGGGGTGCGCTGCCCCGGCCGGACGCGGCGGGGCGCTGCGGAACCGTACGTCGAGCTCCCGTTTAGGCCGCGCCCGCGGGAGGGAGGAGCCTGCGGCGGCGCGGGGTCCCCTGAGGGGCTGGGAGGGGTGTGGAAGAGTCTGGAGGTGGAAGATGTAGGATTTTAAAACCTCACAGGTGCGCGCTGCGGGGGCTGTGGAGAACGCGGCTTAGGAGGGCGTGCTCCGTGCCCGGCTTCCACACATGTGTACGTGTGCATGTGTACGTGTGTGCGTGTGTATGCACGTGTGTACACGTGTTGTGTGTGTGTACATGTGTACTGTGCGTGTATGTACATATATTCTAGTGTACGAGCGTACGTGTTTGCATGTGTACGGTGTACTCACATGTGTGCGTGTTCACGTATGTGTGCATGTGTACTGTACGCGTGTGTACATATGTTTAGGTGTATACGCGTACGTATGTTTACGCGTGTGCGTGTGTGCGGTGCATGTGAGCGTGTGTACATGTGTGTGCATGCGTATGTGCACGTGTACGTATTTTGTACATGCGTGTGTGTCCATGTGTATGTACGCACGTGTCTGTGTACATGCGTGCACATACAGCACAAGTCCCCTGTTGCTGGGTGGCGGAGCTGGGGACGTGCCGGTGCTGGCGCCGTCGTGCTTCTGTCGCTCTGCGTGTTGGGCACGGGAGGGGAAGCGGCACGACGCCCACTCTGCGGACCGGTGTGCGGACTCCAGGAGGAATCACTGGGCAGCCCCTGAAGAAAAGTGGGTCCTAGAGCTCCACCCCCGAAGAGTCTCACTCGTGGGTCTGCAGAGGGTTTCAGGAATCCTCATTTTCTCCCAGTGCAGGTGGTCTGCAGATTATAGTTTGAAATACAAATAGTATATATAAAGTAAAAAAAAGTAAAAGTTGAAGTTTCCTGCTTAGCCCAACTCTTCTGACAGATACCATCTTTTGAATTGGAAAGATATGTTTTTCCAGACATATGTCTTAATAGTTGACCTTTGCACAAAATGGGCTTGAACTACAAGTCCACTTAACACGTGGGCTTTTTTGTATAACAATAATGGAAAATGTTTTGGAGATTTGCAACAGTTTGAAAAAGACAAACCATGTAGCCTAGAAATGGTAAAGAAATAAAAAGTTGGACATGTCATGAATGCATAAAATATAAGTAATACTAGTCTATTTTATCATTTGCTACCATAAAAATACACAAATCTATTATAAAAAGTTAAAATTTATCAAAACTTATGCACACAAACACAGACACGGGTACGTGGCACCATTTCCAGTTGAAAGAAATGTAAACAAATGTAGAGATTCAGTATTAAATCATAACTGCATTAGCTGTAGTGCATACTGTAATACTGTAATATAATAATTTTGTAACCTCCTGTCCCCATTGCTGTGCGCTCAAGGGTTTTGAGTATCTACTTAAAACTCCATGAGACACCATGTGACACTCACTAATCATCTCTGACAAGCAGTTGGTCTCTTGTTGGTTGAGGAGGACACTTTGTCTTCGACTTTGGGTGTCTGCGGTAGTGTGATCTTCGGATGATTTCTTACACATAGCACACAGAGTCAGTGGTATCTGTGATTTCCTTGATGGGTAAGGAACAGTTGTTAGTTGAGGCTCTGGTGAAGTTTTGCTGGGGACTTGAACAGCAGCCGAGCTAGTCTTTTGGCACCAGTGGTGGCAGCAGTGGGCTGAGTGGGCCGGATTTTAGGCCCCAGAGCAGTTTACAGTGGCAGTGGTGTCAGTGTGTCCCAGAGAGCCAGTGCTTGGGCCTTTAGGTGACTTGCTTAGAAGCTAGTAGTTAGAGCAGTGGGCTGAGTATGTGGGCAGGTTCTCAGGCCCCTGAGCAGCTGGTGTGATGTGGGAGGTGACAGTAGCGGTGGGGAAGCCACCCAAGTGGTCGCGTTGGTGTTACTGGTAACTGCAAGGGACTGAGTGGGCCAGGCTCCAGCCGCACAGCTGCCCATAACAGGGCATGTGCTGGGTATCGCCCTAAGTGTGCTTAAGAGAGCTCGGTCTCCCCTTCCCCTTCCCAGCTAAGTGGTGGCTGCAGCCGCATCACCTTAAACTGGGTCCATGTGTGGGGCATGGACCAGCATTAACCTTTAAAAGTGATGCTGTGCGTGGGCTTGCAGTCAGAGAGGACAGGGCCCCTTTCAGGTAAGCCTCGTGGGCAGGAGACCACGGGTGGTGCAGTCTGCTTGCGTCTCCTTCCCACAGGAGCCTGTCGCAGGGCAGTGGGAATTGTCCTAGGTGTGGGCAGGAGAACCTGGGCTCCCCTGTTCCTCTCGGCTGGGCAGGGGTGCAGCTGTGTCAGCCAAACTCAGCCCAAGGATGGGGCACTGCCCAGCTTTAAACTCCCAAAATGGCACCTGGGCATGTGACCAGAGAGAGTGGAACCTTTTCCATGCAGACAGCCTGGGCAAGGTGTGGGTGAAGTGCGTTCACTCGCATCTCAGTCCCACTGCAGCCTGTAGCCGGTGGTGAGGGTTGCTCTGGGTGTGTGTGGGAGAACCTGGGCTCCCCCGTCCCTCCCCGGCTGGGCAGGGCTGCAGCTGCGTCAGCCCACACTCATCCTCAGAGCACCGCACAGCCCAGCTTTAAACTCCCAACGTGGCGCCCTGGGCCTGTGACTAGAGAGGGCGGGGCCCTTCTCAGGCAGGCCGTGCTGGCAGGAAACGGGGTCCCACAGCAGTGGTGGGCGCTGTCCGAGAGGCCTGCTGGAAAGCCTGGTTTCCCTGCCCCTCCCAGCCAGGTGGGGGCTGCAGCCGTGTCAGCCAAACTCAGCTCAAGGGCAGGGCACAGCCCAGGGTTGAACTCTCAAAATGGCACCTTCCACCTGTGAGTGGAAAGGCTGGGGCCCACACCAGGCAAGCAGTGTGGACGAGAAACTGGAAACTGCTGTCCGGTAACGTCTCAGTCTCAACAGCCGCTCACAGCAGGGCGGCGGGGACCTTCCCAGGGCTCCTCTGTCCCTCCTGAGAGCTGTGCGGTGGCTGCCGTGCACCTGCAGTTCCCGGCATCCAGGCTTCTGAGCGGCGCCGCCCCAGGCTGCTCTAGGCTCAGGGGCCTGTGGGATTCCGCCCGGGCTCCCTTTCGGAGCGGCGTGTCCGCACAATCTCCTGCAGCTCCCTGTTTTAGGCCTGAGAGCCGCGTGGGTTGGAGGGTCTCTTGGAGCCAGTATTGTAAAAGCTTGTCCCAGAGAGTGGAGCCCTGGGGCTTCGCTCACTGTTTCCCTACACCCGGAGCTTCTCCTGGCCCTCAGCCGGCCCCTGCCAGGCTGGTTGCCACTTGTGGTGGTTCCTGTCACTTCCCTGGTGAGTCCCAGCGTGCTTCCCTAGACAATGTGTTCCGACGTGAGAATCTGCTTGCTGCTCCGGTCCCTCTGTGGAGCTGGCACGTGCCACCCGTGCCTAGCTGGCCGTCTTGCTCCCATCTCCCATAAGCCCACTGTTTCAACAAGGATTTACTGATGCCATGTTGTGTGGAGGGGCTGCAGTGTGGACTTTAGAGCCACATTGAACGGGATCAAATCCAGTTACTGGTTACGTTGAGCGTGACAAGTTACCTGTCTGTGCCTCAGCTTCCCATTGTAATCGAGGATAAAAATCTGCACACATCTGTGTGTGAATATGCGTAGCTAGATTTCCAGATAGTAATTAATGTCTGAAACAGAAAGCACAATAACAACGTTAACGGTTATTCGTTGTTTTGCATACACAGCCAAATTCCCCTTTCTCCGTGAGGATCTGAGCAAGCCGCTGCTTTCACCGACTGCAGCTCACAGCGGAGGCGGCCGGCGCGCACGTGAGTCAGGCGCTGTGCCCAGGCACGCAGCCGCCGCTGAGGCTAACTACCCGAGTCTACTTGGTTCTCACACACTTTCCACGATATTTTGCTTCCTCCCAATATTTTTAGAATGTATTTTAATTAAATCAAACACAAGATAAAAAAATTACTGGATGTAGAAGTGGAATGCCAGAGACAGGAAAGGTGGCTCTACCTTCCCAAAGACAGGTCCGAGGCCAGAGCGCCAGGGCCAGCGTGCAGCAGGATGGTAGGGAGAGGGTCCCTTCCCGGTATTCCTCATTATCTGCTGAGATGAAGGCATGACACCAGAATATGCCCCCCCATAATATGCCGCTTTGGCATAAGGATTATTTGAGCTGAAGACAATTGAGAAGACCCAGATGTAAGAAAAGCTCTCTGCCCTCCCCCTATTTGCCCCAAAGCAGGACATAAATGGTAAAGGTGTCCCCTCCCCTCTGTGCCAGAAAGGACAACAGTTAATCACCAGGACAACGCCAGAGCCTGGCCACCCTGGAGAGGCCCCAAAATACTCCACGTGCACACTTTACTGACTAGCCCTTATCTTCCATGACTTTCCCTTAGGTTTACCCTCCCACAGTTTGTTGCCCTAGAAATGCAAAATCCTTTTCCTTTGTCTTGTTACTTCTCTGAAAATTTGATGTTCTTTTGTTAAGATGCTGCATAAGCCCAAGTTCTAACTAGCCCTCTGAGTGACTCGTGGCGGAGTGCTCCCGTGCGTACGTGAGATGCACCTGTTAATGAACTCCTGTTTGTTTTTCTTTTGTTTACCTGCCATTTGCCAGTCTCATTTGCAGGGCCGCAGCCACAGAACCCAGCTTGAGTAGAGAGAAAACAGTCTCTCCTCCTCTACAACATGGATAGACGTGGATAGCTAATATTATCAGTTATTTGTCAT